CAGTAATTTTTGATTGCTGAAAATGTCAAATCCTAAAAATTGTAGCATGCCTACACGTGATGTTTTAACATCGTCTCGAACAGTTGTTAGCTGAAGATTCATCTGATGAATCCGATTTATGTATACATTTCTGTTACATTAGGATTAAAGACAAATTCTGTTTAGAAATAACTGCAAGGACAGTTTTTATATTTTATTTTCACATTGATAATCAGTCAGGTTTGCTCCAGCCTCAAAGAATGTGTTTATGTAAAGTTAAATTAACACTGGAAACAAGATGCACTTTTTTCCTAAATGGGAATGAGTTAAGGCGGATGCGATTATTAAATTATAGTTAGACTATTGTGGTTTGTAATAGCCTGCTGAAATGTGAAAGGGTTAAAGAATAATTTGAAACTGGACAAAGGAAGTCTATAACTTAGGCCTAGTTTCTGGAACCCTTAACCACATTCTGTTAATCATGAAACTTGTAACAATGAGCTCATACGCTAACTGCCAATTTTAGCCTGTGTAACCCTGTTTGCTTGCGTGGCATGAAAAATAATCAATTGTATATAAGCTGAAAATTACTGTTTGGCCATCGCCCATGGGAACACTGGCTATAGCCCATGGGAACATAGGCAATCATCCATAGGAACATAACATTCTAACAACAAGCTTTCTGCTTCTGTACTTCCCGCTTGCACACCTGACCAGTGGGTTGACAGGTAGTGAGTAAGAGAAAGATGGACCTTTGTGTTTAAGACAGAATGAGGAATGGGATTTGAGGCTTAAAAACCTTGTATCTTGGCATTTCGGGGCTGCTCCTTTGCAAGGACAGCCGCCGGCTAATAAACTGTCTCCTGGTTAAGAGCACTCAAGTTGGGTCTGGTTATTCTGGTCACAACATGGTTAATTTAACTACAAATCCGAAAAGTTTTTCCTCACCCAGGCCCTGATGTGTTGTTATGTATAGCATAAGAGTATAGTCCAGTTAAATATCCTAGCTAGCTAACAAACTACAAGATATTTTTATAGGTATGGGTTGATAGAAATACTGTCAATATGGATTGATAGTGAGAACTATGGGAGAAGGAATTAAGATTCCTGTGTTTTAGAACTTACTATTAATAGCAAGCCACTTAACTTCTCTTAGGTTATTTCTCTACTTACAAAATGGGGATTAATCATACCTTTCTTAACTATACTGCTAGAGGATATGTGTGTTAAGAATAGCACAAAGAAAAGGTCCTCTTTCTGATCTAATTGTTACCAATGAGAGAGCTAGCAATAAGCTGGACTTGATACATTTTGTGTTTCAAAACAGGAAAATTTAGCCAAATCTAAAAAAAAAAAAAAAAAAAAAAATCAAAGTTTTCAGAAGGATGAGAGACTGGAAGGAACCAGGAAGGGAAATATGTTAAATTAATTTATTTTTTAAGTTCTGGGTTCAGACATGATGATATCTATCAATGGAAGCTTCAGTTAAATCACCTAATAAGTTATCATTTTAAATTAAGCACATATCTCAAAAAAAAA